CGGCCCCTGGTAGAATTGATGAATAGTTGTCATATCGTTGAATTGGAGAAAGCAGGCCAAGCTCCGAAGTCGCTTCTCCGCCTCCTCTATGTAGCCTCGCTAACGGGTTCCATTACGCTAAGAGTTCGTAATGCCGTCCGTAGAAGGTAGATTCCGCCCTCAGCCCCGCCGCTCCCAGAGTTTATTTTTTGCGCGACGCCCTCTGGTAGATTGATAAAAGTTGTCATATCGTTGATTTGAGAAGCAGGCAAGCCCCGAGACGCTCTCCCTCCTCCCCCATGTAGCCTCGCTAACGGGTCCATACGCATAGAGTCCGTAATGCGTCCGTAGAAGGTAGATACGGCCTTAGCCCCCGACGCTCCAGAGCCATTTTTTGGCCCGACGCCCCTGGTAGATTGATGAAAGTTGTCATATCGTTGATTTGAGAAGCAGGCAAGCCCCGAGACGCTTTCCACCTCCCCCTGTAGCCTCGCTAACGGGTCCATACGCATAGAGTCCGTAATGCGTCCGTAGAAGGTAGATACGGCCTTAGCCCCGACGCTCCAGAGCCATTTTTTGGCCGACGCCCCTGGTAGATTGATGAAAGTTGTCATATCGTTGTTTTGAGAAGCAGGCAAGCCCCGAGACGCTTTCCACCTCCCCATGTAGCCTCGCTAACGGGTCCATACGCATAGAGTCCGTAATGCGTCCGTAGAAGGTAGATACGGCCTTAGCCCCGACGCCCCAGAGCCATGTTTTGGCCGACGCCCCTGGTAGATTGATGAAAGTTGTCATATCGTTGATTTGAGAAGCAGGCAAGCCCCAAGACGCTTTCCACCCCCCCATGTAGCCTCGCTAACGGGTCCATACGCAAAGAGTCCGTAATGCGTCCGTAGAAGGTAGATATGGATGAATATCATCACTTATCGGACCTCACTAAGGCTTATTATCAGTTTTAATGGCCAATCATATATTTATTTGCTTTGGATAACCAATCATATCCAAATAATGTGTCAGTCTTGGCCAATCAATCTGTCAAGGGTTAGGTTGGTCATCTAAACTCCACATCGGACGTATTAGGTCCGAGGGGCACGGAAAATATGTGTATCCCTTTACAAATATTATGATGTCGGCGTATCACACGCATATTTTCATTTTATCCGACCGGTGCAACCATATCGATACATGTACATGCGACTAAATTAGCGCTTTCTAAAAACGGTTAATCAGCTGCAATTTGTAGCAAGTAGTAAAGTCACCACTGGCAACACCAGCTCTACGGCGAGGGTTGACGGCAAAGTGGCGGATCGGCGTTATTTTATCAAGTAATTATTTTAATACGTACTACGTGTATTAATACATGTAACAGCCTCCGCGTATCAGTACCACCGCTAGTAGATACTACGTATTACGGAGCTGTACTTCAGTGCAGACTTCGTACAGGTACCAGTACATGAACATTTTGTTATTACCACAGTATTATCATGTACACATAAGCACCTCCTGTCGCTCCGCCTTGCCTTATCCTCATCCTATATGCTGCACTTCCGGCTGGAGCAACGCCACGCTGCTCCGCACGCATCCTTCTTGCCTTTAGTAGTCGCATCCTTCTCCACGTCCCGCTCATTGACGTGCCTATGTCCCAACCGTGAGCTTCCACAACGATGCACCAGAGCTCCGTTCACACCGCATCTCTGCCAAGCAACGCGCCGACCACGTCCATCTTATCATCGTCACAGCGCCGCGTCGCTCTTCCAGCTCTTCATCGCCATCCACTCGCTTCCGCCATCGCTGCTGGTCCATCGCCACCCTTCCACTGTCGTCGCCGTCACCACACTTGGTCACCGCCACCCTTGCACCCGTCTCCACGCTCGCTCGCCGCCGCCTTTGCTGCCGCCGCACCCGCCGCCATCCGTCCACACGCAGGACTATAAGTTTTACCTTTGTGACCCACAACATATAAACATTAGATTTTATATATTTGTTTTGAGGGTTTTCATTACTATGTACCATACCTTTGGTACAGGTCCGATAAGGTCATCCGGTCCGATAAATTTTGGTATGGATGAATATCATCACTTATCGGACCTCACTAAGGCTTATTATCAGTTTTAATGGCCAATCATATATTTATTTGCTTTGGATAACCAATCATATCCAAATAATGTGTCAGTCTTGGCCAATCAATCTGTCAAGGGCTAGGTTGGTCATCATCGGACGTATTAGGTCCGAGGGGCACGGAAAATATGTGTATCCCTTTACAAATATTATGATGTCGGCGTATCACACGCATATTTTCATTTTATCCGACCGGTGCAACCATATCGATACATGTACATGCGACTATTAATAAATTAGCGCTTTCTAAAAACGGTTAATCAGCTGCAATTTGTAGCAAGTAGTAAAGTCACCACTGGCAACACCAGCTCTACGGCGAGGGTTGACGGCAAAGTGGCGGATCGGCGTTATTTTATTAAGTAATTATTTTAATACGTACTACGTGTATTAATACATGTAACAGCCTCCGCGTATCAGTACCACCGCTAGTAGATACTACGTATTACGGAGCTGTACTTCAGTGCAGACTTCGTACAGGTACCAGTACATGAACATTTTGTTATTACCACAGTATTATCATGTA